TGAATGAAAATTTCCTAGTAACGTTCATCCTTAATTCCTTACCTCCAAAGTATGGCACATTCCATGTGCATTACAATACTCTAAAGGATAAATGGAATGTGCATGAGTTACAAAGCATGCTCATTCAAGAGGAAGCAAGGCTTAAGAAACCAGGAAATCATTCTGCCAATCTTGTTGGTCATAAAGGAGCTGGAAAGAAACCATGGAACAAGAATGGGAAGGGCAAGGAAGGACTATCAAAGCTTAATGAGTCATCTGCCAAAATACACAAGAAGGAACCAAGTAAGGATATATGCCGCTTCTGTAAGAAAGCCGGACATTATCAGAAAGATTGCTTGAAAAGAAAGGCATGGTTCGAAAGAAAGGGTAAGCCTAGTGCTTCAGTATGTTTCAAATCAAATTTAACTAAGGTTCCTTATAATACTTGGTGGGTTGACCCTGGTTGTACCATTCATGTTTCCAAAACGATGCAGGGATTCCTTACGACCCAAACCATAAGGCAAAATGAGAAGTTCATCTTTATGGGAAACCAAGCCAAAGTTCCAGTTGAAGCTATTGGGACTTATCGTTTGGTTTTAGATACTGGTCATCATTTGGACCTTGTCAATACCCTTTATGCTCCTTCTATTTCTCGTAATTTGGTTTCGGTGTCTCAACTAGATAAGGCCGGGTATTTTTGGAACATTGGAAATGGTTCTATTAGTTGTTCAAACAGAATGTTTTATTGGGTTCTGGTACCCTTGTTGATGGTTTGTACAAACTAAAGCTTGATACCCTATTCGCTGAGATTCTCTTAACCTTGCATCATAATGTCGGTATTAAACGTGGTTTGTTTGATGAATCCTCTGCTTACTTGTGGCATAAACGGTTGGGTCACATATCCAAAGAAAGAATGGAAAGGCTAGTAAAGAATGAAATCCTTCCTCATTTGGATTTTACTGACCTTGGAATTTGTGTTGAGTGTATTAAAGGAAAACACACAAAACACACACTTAAGAAAGCAGCCACAAGAAGCTCACAGCTCCTTGAAATTATACACACTGATATTTGTGGGCCTTTTGATGTTCCATCACTTGGTGGAGAAAAGTATTTCATTACCTTTATCGATGATTTTTCACGTTATGGATATATCTATTTGCTGCATGAAAAATCTCAGTCGGTAGATACCCTTGAGGTGTTTATCAATGAAGTTGAGAGGCAATTAGAAAGAAAGGTGAAAATTGTCAGATCTGATAGAGGTGGAGAATATTATGGAAGATATGATGAAAGTGGACAATGCCCTGGTCCATTTGCTAAGTTCCTAGAAAGACGTGGTATTTGTGCTCAATACACTATGCCAGGAACACCGCAACAAAATGGTGTTGCAGAAAAGCGGAATCGTACTTTAATGGATATGGTTAGGAGCATGTTAAGCAACTCATCTTTACCCAAATCATTGTGGATGCACGCTTTAAGGACCGCTGTGTATTTGTTAAACAATGTTCTTGGTAAAGCAGTTCCTAAGACACCTTTTGAACTGTGGACGGGAAGGAAACCCAGTTTAAGGCACCTGCATGTTTGGGGTTGCCCAGCGGAAGTGAGAATATATAATCCACATGAAAAGAAACTGGACTCACGAACAATTAGTGGTTTCTTCATTGGTTATCCAGAAAAATCTAAGGGGTATCGATTTTATTGCCCTAATCATAGTACAAGAATTGTTGAAACTGGAAATGCTAGGTTCATTGAGAATGGTGAAGTTAGTGGGAGCTTAGAGCCACGCAATGTGGAAATTCAAGAAGTTAGAGTGCAAATATTCTTGCCTCTACCCTCTTCTCAAGTTGTTGCTCCTGCACATGTTGAGCATGATAACGATTTGCAGGAACAACAAATGAACGGTCAAGCACCACCTAATATTGCTATTGAGAATGAACCTAACATAGATGAACCACAAGAAATCGCATTAAGAAGGTCTACAAGAAATCGAAGGCCTGCAATTTCTGATGATTATGAGGTTTATCTTCACGAGTTAGAATCTGATTTAGGACTCTATCATGATCCAGTTTCATTTTCACAAGCCATGGAAAGTGAGCATTCTGATAAATGGTTAGCTGCCGCGAAAGAAGAGATGAAATCTATGTATAAAAATGAAGTCTGGGACCTTGTTGATTTGCCTGAAGGTTGTAAAAGAGTTGGTAATAGATGGGTCTGGAAGACCAAACACGACTCTAATGGCAATATCGAAAGACACAGGGCCAGACTTGTTGCCAAAGGTTTCACTCAGAAAAGTGGTGTTGACATAAAGAGACATTTTCACCCGTCTCTAAGAAATACTCCTTAAGGATTGTCATGAAAATGGTAGCTCATTATAATCTAGAGCTCCATCAGATGGATGTGAAAACCGCCTTTCTGAATGAGAATTTAGATGAAGCAGTCTATATGGATCAACCTGAAGGTTTTGTGGTTGAGGGAAAAGAACATATGGTGTGTAAATTAAAGAAGTCAATATACGGACTTAAAAAAGCTTCCCGACAATGGTATATTAAGTTCAATGATACCATTACATCTTTTGGATTTAAGGAGAACATCGCCGATCGATGTATATATCTGAAGATTAGTGGGAGTAAGTTTATAATTTTAGTTTTGTATGTTGACGATATCTTGCTTGCTACTAATGATCTTGGTTTATTACATCAAACTAAGGAGTTTCTCTCTAAGAACTTTGAAATGAAGGATTTGGGTGAGGCATCCTATGTGATTGGAATAGAAATATTTCATGATAGATCATAAGGACTGTTGGGATTGTCTCAGAAATCATACATTAACCGGATCCTAGAGAGATACAACATGGGTGAATGCTCTGCAAATGTCGTTCCAATTCAGAAGGGAGATAAATTTAGTCTCAAACAATGTCCAAAGAATGAATTGGAACGCAAGCAAATGGAACACATTCCTTATGAATCTATTGTTGGAAGTTTGAATTATGCACAAACTTGTACCAGACCAGACATCAGTTTTGCTGTCGGAATACTAGGCAGGTATCAAAGTAATCCAGGAGTAGATCATTGGAAAGTTGCAAAGAAGGTACTGAGGTATCTGCAAGGAACAAAAGACCACATGCTCACCTTTAGTAGATCTGATCACCTTGAGGTGATTGGATATTCAGATTCAGATTATGCTGGATGTGTAGACACCAGGAAGTCTACTTTTGGCTATTTGTTCCTTCTAGCCGGAGGGGCAATTTCATGGAAGAGTGCGAAGCAGTCTGTTATTGCCACATCCACTATGGAAGCTGAATTCATAGCTTGTTATGAAGCTACGAATCATGGTTTATGGCTGCGGAATTTTATTTCTGGACTTGGAATTGTCAACACTATCGCCAAGCCGCTGAAAATTTACTGTGATAATTCCGCAGCGGTATTCTTCTCTAAGAATGACAAGTATTCGAAGGGTGCTAAGCATATGGAGGTGAAATACTTTGTCGTTAAGGAAGAAGTTCAGAAACAAAGAGTGTCGATCGAGCATATTAGCACACAACTTATGATTGCTGATCCATTAACAAAAGGATTGCCGCCTAAGACATTTACTCAACATGTCGAAAGGATGGGGATTATAGGACGTCATGACTAAAGTTATTTTATGTTTCATGGATTGACACTTTGAGCTCATTTATTTTGTTTCTGGAATAAAGTTATGAATCTTGTTTTATTTATTATGATCAGTATATATACATTATGCATTATGTGAACAAAACAAGATTTTTGTCTTTAGGAAAGACATTATTGTTGGACCATTATAAATACCTTGTTATGTGTCATATTGAGCATGAGACTGGTTTGGTGGTACATGGAAGGGACTATGTCGATAAATTGATATAGAACCGCCATGATCCTAATCTAGTTTTTATACTTGATTATGATTTTATGGTGAACCAAATATTATGGATTTATCTTATAATGTGCACACTTATGTTTATTATTAGATCTTGTGATATATAATGACACATGGACCAAGTGGTAGAATGTAAGCCCAATTCCCGTATGAGACTAGGGAATAATTGTGGCACAAGTGTAATTATCACTTAATGGTTTAATATATAAGGTAAATCCTATATTGATTAGGTTAATGATAGTTAATTCCTAATATACCCTGATGGTGGGTCTATATAAAGAAACCCTAGGATTGGTCCTCTCTCAACCCATTACGTAGAATTTCTTAGCCATCACAGAAATCTCTAAACCTAAAACCTAAAGGGGTCAAGAGGGAGAAACTCAATTCCGGTGATTACTACTCCAGCGCCGCCGCCGCTCTCGTCATGGATCGAGGTAGGTTTCCTTGATCTATTACCGATTCGTGAAATCATCTTATTCTAAGATCCATGCTATTATGATTCATTTTTACATTATTACGGCCGCTCCATTAAAGAGTGAGACGGTAGGGGGTTTTGTGCAATTAGGTTTAGAGTTATAAGGGTGGTTTGTTGGGTTGGATCTTAAGAAATGGTTTCAGACTAGACAAGGTGGTTGAGATGCCTAAAAGGCAAGTTCAGCTGCATGACGAGATTATTGATAACCTTAATAAATAAAGTTAAGCAGAAATATGGTGGAAATAAGAGAGAGTGACCACTTTGTTGTTGCAGATCAACAAATTTGAGTAATAACTTGGTTACATTTGAGATTCGGTAATGCTTTTGTAGTTTTGTTACATTTGATATAGTTTAGTGAATATGAAAGAATAGTGTGAGATAGATGTTGATGCATATTCTCTTCCTTTTTTTCTCCCATCATGAGATAAATTTTGCTCATTTCTTTTTCACCGTTTACTTTTCTATATGCCTGCTTCTTATTTGTGACTCCGTCTCTATATAAATAGTCAGAGCCTTTTACAAAATCATTGTGAGCACAAATTAGCACAGTCATATAACAAAATAACTTCATGCCCTGTTCTTGTTTCCCTCACAGATGACTGGGAATGAAAATCATGAAAATGGAAACCCAACTGCCTTCCTAACGAAGGGTATAATGATGAGCATTCTTTTGAGATTGCCAACTGTTGTATGTATAGCTCGGTTTCGCTGCGTCTGCAGAGCATGGCGAATTCTCCTTTCAGATCTCCAATTCATTCGCAAGTTCATTCCCCCCCCCCCCCCCCAAAATCCCAGTGAACTAAAAGCTCTCTGAATCCTAATCATGGAGGCAGAAGAACCCTATGTCAACCAATGCAGTCAAAAGCGCGATTTTACCTAGAAGCGGAAAATGGGTAAAATCGTAAAGCGTAGAATCAAAGCGTAAAACCGTAAGTGTTTCACGCATTCTCCTTGCACTCCTACGACACCCTTCACCCCATTTCTTCTGTCGCCGCCGATGTTGCGATGGCATATTTTGCATCAATGTATGGATCGACAACAATATGACATACATCATTCTTTGGAATGCGACAAGTTCCGAGATCAAGTGCCTGTCGGTTTGCCTTTCCCTCTGTCCTTTCCCTAATGGCATCGAAATTGCGGCGGAGATGATCGACTTTTGTTTTGATCCACAAACCACCGACTACAAAAGTTGTTCGGTGTGTGAGATTTGTGCCCTACATCGAAACATACTATGATTGTGGAGGTGTTCGTAGTGAGAGATCTTATGAAGTTAGTGATCCACCTTTTACTTACATAGAGGTGATAGTTTTTCTGAATGTTGCTCAATGAATCCAAGTTTGATTGTATATGTAAGTAATTTGAATTTTCTAATTTCGATGTCAATGGTGATGTACAATCACGGAAGAGAGTATCTGATGCCCCTGAGGAGATCATGTTTATGGAATACATTCATCAACGAGATGTATCTCGAAACGAGAGATGTTATTGGTTTATAGGTAACGAACCGAATTGTACTATCGTTTGTTTCGACATGAGCGAGGAAGCGTTTGAAGTTAAAGAAGCAGAATCGTCTGGCTTACCTTACAGCATTTCGGATGATTTGTGGTTCAATACAGCGTCGTGTTATATGTTGAAGTGTATATTTGCAATCCTGCAACAGAAGAAATTGGCGACCCTCTCGACGTGCAAGGGAGAGCTCAGCCCTTTGAAGCTCACATGTACACTCCAACTTTTGTTACATTGTCGAATCGGGAGTAGGACTTCTACCACCATATTTTGTATTTTGCTTAATCAATAAATGGTTTGTTTGTTTTGTGTGACAAACAATTGTTTTAATTTGGTAACTAGGGATAATATTTGCTTATCTTGTATTTGTATATTTTGTAGTTGTAATGGTATTAATTTTCATGTTTGATAATAGTAGTTAGGCGGTCGGAGGAAGTATAGATGGCGGCAGGCTGAGAAACGACAAGGATAGAGGCGAGCAGAGGGAGATAGAGAGGCACAAGTTAGGAGCAGGAGACAGATGTAGAGAGAAGAGCTTTGTCTTTTAAAAATTACCTTTCCCAAATGTAATTAATACAAGTGCAAAAAATTATTGTCTTCTTTACAATTGGTTATCACGGTGGCCACCACTATAAGGTGAACATGGTGCTCCTCAATCATCATGGATTACTATGTGTTCGCTGGAGTTAGAGGTGTAGATGGTTGAAACTCAACATTCCATATTCATGCGATCGAGCTTTGTACATTCACGTATCCAAGTGACATATAAGTTTTGAACTATTTTTAATAATTTTGGAGAGCATGATAATTAACGCGTTAGCTACAACGCTGCACGGGTTGATACGCACAACACTGAAGTTAAAATTTATAAAATATATAGTTACTAAAGTGTAATTTTACATCAATTATTGAATTCACCATCCATTGATTTTGGATTAAATGGATTAAATTGGATATTTTTTTAATGGATTGAATTAGAATAATAGAATGAATTCAAATTCGCTAATCCATTAAATTTGGATTAAATGGATTTAGGGGTCGTTTGGAAAATATGAGTCTATAAAAGCTAGGTATCTCCTTTACCCGCTCTTCATACGGAAATTGTAGCTGAGTAGGCCTATATGAAGATTTTATGGGGGAAGATGTAGAATGTCAAGTCTGTGTTGAGAAAGATAAAGACGACTTTCCTACTCGCTTGCCAGCGCCTTTACTCATGCGTGACTCGCGCCAGAATTACATTGTAAGTTGGAATGGACAACCGATGGCCGCATACTCTGTCAAGTGTGTTTGGGGCACTTTGAGACCTCGAAGAGAATTGAATTAGATTAATAGAATGAATTCAAATTCATCAATGCATTGAAGTTTGATTAAATGGATTCAGGGGTCGTTGGAGAATATGAGTCTAAATTTACATATTGTAAACAATCTAAACATTCTACATCTTCAAATTGTTGAACACAGATTTTAAAATGTTTATTGTTAGTTAACTGTGATTGTTAACATTTCATGAAAATGAGAAGACTGATTTTATATTAAATTACATGTTTATCATTAACAAATAAATTCAAGTAGTAGGTGAAATATTGAATTTTTTTTATAAATATATTTAATCTAATTACGAGTGATTTTATATCCGTAGATTTGTTTAATCTGTTTACGAGAGATTTGATATTCGTAGATTTTAGAAATTTGAAATTTTTAAAATTAAAATCAACAACATAAAAATAAAACATAACTTTTTAAAAAATATATTGTTTACAAAATATACTGATTTAGTGAATTCATAATCTAAATCGTGTTCTCCAATTTCACTTAAATATATGTTTTTATCTATTGAATTAAATTAATTACAGATTGAATTCAAAGTATAACCCCGTAATTTAAAGTCATTGCATGCCATTTATCCACAATTACCGTCCCCAATAAAAAAAACGGTATGTTGTAAGCGTACTTCAATCCAATCTATCAAATCCCATTAAGTGCTCCTCGATCATACTAAGGCTCTGTTTACTTTTATTTCTGTTTTTTTTAAAACATGTGAAAACAACATTTTGTCAATTCCGAAAACAGCAGGAAGTTGTCGGCTAATTATCATAAATGGTCACAAACCTATTCACTTTGTACAAAACAGTCACAATTCAATAATTTTGCACGTTTCAGTAATATAAGTTTGAGCAAATAACAAAAAGGTCAATCCGTCCAATTCCATCTAAAACTCCGTTACTTTTGCTTACTCAGTCATCAAATAAATTAATAAAAAATAATTTAATCATTCGAATTAACCCTTCCAACTCTAACCGGTTCTATAGCTCACTTACGTATCCACCCGCCCGATTCATCCGATTTGGCTATTAGCAATAGTAGCAGAAGCGCAGACGGGCCATGGTAGCAGCCTCAGAAGAGCGAACTCGACGGCGGTGGGATTCTAGGGTTCGCTGGAGAAAATGGAGGGAGAGGCGCCGCTCCGCCAAGGAAAAACCTTGAATGGTAGGTACCGATGCACTGTTAAGGCCAAGTAATTAAGCACTAATTCCCCACAAACGTGATGGATATAATGGATCAATAGGAAAATACCATAATAAGCCTTGAGAAGGGAGCATTGAGTTCATCCCCAAAATATGCCTTCCCGACATCTCTCTCCATTAGCTTCAGGAAATCCATGATCAAACGGCTTATACAGCATGCTCCTCGTCTACCAGCTCTGCCTGAGGGAGGAGGGGATTTCCGGTGGCGGAAGCGTGCAGATCCGTGGACGTCCACTGGACTCTCCTCTTTCCATGGCGGAGTGGTGCGCCTCTCCTCTCTCTTCTACAGCGAACCCGAGAAGTCCACCGTCGTCGAGTTTGCTCTCTTCCCGAACGACGACTCCTGCGACTGCGACCTGTTTGTCGCTTCTGCTACGGCTGCTAATAGCCAAATTGAAGGAATCGGCCGGGTGGGTACATAACCGTGCTATTGAACCGGTTAGGATTGTGTGGTTAATTCGAATGATTAAATTATTTTTTTATTAACATATTTGATGACGTGTCATGTTGACTGGACAAAAGTAACAGATTTTTGGACGGAATTGGACGGATTGACCTTTTTGTTATTTGCTTAAACTTATATTACTGAAACGTGCAAAATTAAAGAATTGTGACCGTTTTGTACAAAGTGAATAGATTTGTGACCATTTATGAGAATTACCCGGAAGTTGTCACTTTATGTTTTTATAGTTGAAAACGAATAGAAAACAGAATAAAAAGTAAACAAGTTTTCTCGTTTCGATTGCCAAATTTATGACATGAAAACAAAAAACAAGAAATGAAAATGGAAGTGAAGAGGGAATAAGGTTCTCAGGTGGATGATTGGGAACCTATGAGTGAACGACGACAATGCTACAAGGCTACTCATTCGGGAGAGCTCAGATTGGAAGTTAACCTGTTTCTAGCAGTAGTTTCTGTGACCAGTAGTAGATGATTAGAACATGTAAAGGATGATACACAGGTACATGGCAATAACACAGTTCTCTCTAATCCAATTAGAGAACACTCAACTCTAAAGACGAAGCTCATAAACTACAAATATGTGCAGCAGAAAACCAAAACACTCATCGCACGTACTCAACTATGCCGACAAAGATTGCAGCAAACAGAAAAAAGCCTCACTTCAGTGGCTTCAAACCTAGAGATGCACGGATTCTGTTGGCTTCTGCAATCTCGGGATCCGGATGATCCGTCCCATCATCTTTCTTCTCCTTCTTCTCACTCGTCTTCTTTTCCTTCTTCTTGGTCTCCTCTGCTTCGTTCTTTCTGGGGCTGGGGCTCCTACGCCTCTTCCGATCTCTACTCCTGCTCCGACTCCTTGATGGACTCCTCCGTCTCCCACCACCACGGTCCCTGCCTCGCCTCTCTCTGTCCCTGCCTTCCCTCTCTCTATCACGGTCGCGGTCTCTCTCGCGACCGTAGTCCTTCTCGTCTCTTAGGCGATACCGATCCCTGTCTCGGTCTCTGTCTCGGTCTCGGTCCCTGTCTCTATCTCGTCCACGGCCACGGTCCCTATCATAGTCTCTATCATAGTCACGGTCCCTGCATAGAGAGGAAAAGGAAAAGGGCTTGAGAAATGCATTCATTCTCCATAATAAAACTATAATCCTAGAAGCAAGCCTGATTTAACAGAGTTCAAGCAAAACTGAAAAGCGGAATACTATTAAATAGTCCAGCAATAGCAACCCAGCCATGCACATATCACCAGTTAAGAGCAAATTTCAGAACAATGCCATGACTGACAGAGAAATCATAAAATGTCTGATCCATCATACTTCTCAGCTGCACACTGTCAGTGCAGAGAAACCTGGCAGGATCAGCGATTCGCTTTTACTTACTGTAGGAAGCAGTTAAGCCACCAACGGCCTGAAATGCCGTGGTGGAGACAGTGACAATGAAAAAACAGCGTACAAGTACACGAGTACTTGAATGTTGTTCAACAGCTTCCACTAGGGTATTCTTCAACCATCTCTAGCATTCAATTTCTCTCTATGACTGAATAAACTCTTTTGAGGGAATGCAGGGTTCAGAGTTGCAGTATTTATCTACTATTGGAGAGACTAGTGATGCAGTAACATGTTCGTTCTAGCCATGTTACTGGAATTGATAGAAATACACATTGTTTGTCTTTCCAACCCACATATTATAGAACACAGCATTCTACAAACAGATTACACATCATGATAATGACCAAAAGTAAATGACAAACTACTCTATTTGTTATGTCTATTAACGGAGGAGTCAAACTACAGAAACATGTCCACTCAATCTATGTTAATCAAAACAATATAACAGATTCTACTCTTTTCAACCCGTATGCCATATAATACAACAATCTTCAATCAGATTGTACATATCATGATAGTTATTCCTCACTAACAATCAGCAATAGGATCTTCTCTCATCGTGTAACTACGAAACTTCCAAAAATGAAACGAATTCCAATCTGCAAAAGGTAAGAGGCGAACCTGTAGCGATGACTATCCGGTCTTCTGTCTCTATCCCTTTCTCTCGTGGGGCTTCTCCCATGGTGGTAATCCTGTCAAATTTTACATACATCATGTCAATGGATACATCAAGCTACACGAGACCATATCCAGTAAAAGGGCTCAACAAGTGAAGAAGATAGTACCTTCTCATCATTGCCACCATTCTCTACTCCATCCATCTGCTCATTCTCCTCTTTCTCTTCCTCCTCTTCAAAGTCATCTTCTAATACACTCTTCCTTGGTTCTAATATGCCATGCGACTCTAGCGTCCATCTGGGCAGACCAAATCAAAAGTTAAAAGCTCCACTCAATCAACAATGTCAAAATCTACGGGATTCAAAGTTAATGAAGCATCACAATACTCACCTCTTCTTCACACGGGGCATAGCAATGTCGCAGGCGTAGTCCTTCGTCAACAGCTCGTCAATCACCTCATCCACATGGGTCAACACAAATTCTGAACCACAAAACAAGATAATCAGAGGAACCTTCAAAACACTTCTAGAATGGAGTTAGTTTTACCACGAGCATCAACTTACTTCCATCGGCCGATTGCATCCTCAGCTTGCGGTAGTCGTTGTACAGCGGCTCCAGATACCGGTAGACGTCGATGTCTGTGCCGGTAAGCCGGAGGTAGAACGCGCCGAGTACGCGGACATACTTGTAGTCGTCGTTCTTGATGAACTCGACCACGATGTCCTTCTCCGGCTGAATCTGGAGCATCTTCAGGATTAAGCAGATGAAGGGAGTCGGTCTCCTGGTACCGCCGTGCGTTCCACCGATGTGATCGAGCTCCATCGCCTTGTCCACGAGAGTCTCGGCTGTCAATCCGAAGCACTGTTCCTTCCAGTACGTGTTCTGGTAGATCTTCGAGCGAACGATTTTCTCCACCAGGTTCTGCGGATTCGTTCCCCTTATGCTCTTTGCCGCGGGGTCGGTGCGATTCGCCATCGCCGGCGAGTGTGGGCGGAAAGCGGAACCCTAGAAGCGGGAGAGGAAAGGGTGAAGCTGTGAAGGTCGTTTCTTTGTTTTATCATTTATGTGAAAAGCGGCTATCTAACTGAACCGGATCGAAGCCGAGGAGAATGGCGGTGGGCCGAAAGTTACCGCTTTGGTGGCTGTCTGGCTGAGAGCCTAGGACCCGAACCCGATTCGTTTATTTCGTTTTTTTTCTAATTTTTCTTGAAACTATTTTGATTTATAATTAATTTTTTTTAAAACATAGACAAATCAAACAACCGTTCAATTACAAAGTTAGAGAACAGAGTCCAACCACGGACGAAAGTCGAGCAATAGTCGAACTTCTGATGACAGAGTTTGTCTAACCACAAGATGGGCAACTCTATTAAAACGCCTAGGAGCAAAGAAACAAGAACATAAAACAAAGTTTGCGACTAGTCGTTGAATGTCCTCCAGAATCTCCCCCCCCCGGTAGTGCAATGTATCACCCGCCAGCAAACGCCGAACAACCAATTGAGAGTCCCCACAAAATTTAACATAAAGAAAATTCCGGGTTGGACACAAGTTCATAGCATCACGTAAGGCCAACAATTCCATGATAAAAAGATCTTGAATTGCGTCATAGAACTTACCGAACCCAAATATGATAGAACCCGAATAATCAAATCCGACGAATCCAGTTCCACCTCCCTGGTCTTTCTTGACTGATTTGTCAAATCACACAGCGATAAGGTCAGCTGGAGGAGGAAGGTCTTTATCTGTTATGGAGTAGAGAATTCCACCTAATGGAGGGCGAGGGAGCTCCCTTGTGGCCTCTCCCGTATTGTGATATGTAGAAGATGATGGTGATTGTTTCTGGCTAGCAACCCGCCACTCCTCCACTTGTGAATGGAACTGACGACACAGAGCATGGGGAAGGTATTGGATTCCCCTATGGACAGCCCAACACCTACCTTTCCATATACACCAACACAAGAAGACTATCTTTGCAATCTGTAATCTTTCAACTGCCGTCATTGCTATTGGTAGCGGCGATGCCGGTCTTGGGAGAATTGCTATGTGAAACTAGCGGCCATATCCACAATTATGGATAGTGGGTTGGGTGTGGGTAGCAAAATATTGATTTTTGTGATTAGTGGTTAACCACTATCCACAGCATTACCCACAAAACCCACATTAACCATATTAGTAATATTTATTTCTTCAAAATACTTTGTAACCCACACTAACCACATTAGTCATATTAGTTTGTGAAACTTGGAAGACTAAGAATTAAAATAGCTACCACAATCAAATACACACTTATTCTATAAAACAAAACCAAGTCAATACGTAATGTTCATGTGAGATACTTTTATCAAATAAGCATCGTCCATGTGGTATATGTTTATTTTATAACAAAACCAAGTCCATAGATATAGTCAGATAAATTAATGGATTCGTTAAAAGAGGGGAATAATCGATAAAGGTTAGTCTGATACCCAAACTCATCTCCATTTCTCCACGAACTCACGAACAACACAACATGAGCTACCAACAATACAATACTATAATCGAGAGTGGAGAATAATTGATTCATTAAAATCGGGCGCCTCTACTTATCTAGTCATTTTTGTGTTTTGCTATTGTTACCATCGGAGGAGCCGTGACATGCAACGATGTTTTTATGGTAACAGGTCACTCCGCCTCTCCGTTATCTTCAAATCTCTTTCCAAATCAATCTCTTCTGAATTTACACTAATTAACCTATTGTATTCGATATTTATAATTTATTTAACACTTTATTAACTTTCTTTTATGTATCTTTTTGTTTTTGTGTGAGAAGAAACACAACATCACTATTTAATTACCGTATTATTATACTTAAATGTGAAATTTTTGTGGGTATCCACAACCAACCCGCACCAACCCACAACGGATAGTGGTTGATTACTACCCACTGCAGGGCGGGTTGTGGGTAGCATAATTCTATATTTGTTGGTGTGATTACCCGCAAAATGTGGGGCAGGTAACCACACCCACCTCAATTTCCACCCCCATGTGAAACCACTTCTAGGCTATTCGGTTTCTCCTGTCCAAAAGTAATCAATCATTCAAAAGGCAATTCCTTTCTGTTAGTTCCACATAACTTTGCTTTGTTTCTCTAATATGAGGAACCCCAACAACTGTGGCGGACGTCGGCGATGAATCCGGCCATTCTAGGCTATTCGGTTTCTCCTGTCCAAAAGTAATCAATCATTCAAAGGCAATTCCTTTCTGTTAGTTCCACATAACTTTGCCTTGTTTCTCTAATCTGAGGAACCCCAACAACTGTGGCGGACGTCGGCGATGAATCCGGCCATTCTAGGCTATTCGGTTTCTCCTGTCCAAAAGTAATCAATCATTCAAAGGCAATTCCTTTCTGTTAGTTCCACATAACTTTGCCTTGTTTCTCTAATCTGAGGAACCCCAACAACTGTGGCGGACGTCGGCGATGAATCCGGCCGATGGCCAATAACCCACTATTATTCCTCGGATCGTGAAACAATACTGTTAAAGCAGGGGAGCCTCTGTTTTCAGTGATGGCGGACACGGAGGAATTAGCTTCGATGAGTAGGTAAATCAATTACCCGATATTCATAATTGGTTCAAAGTATCAGAATTGGTCAGGGAAGGATTTTTCTTCCTATCTCTATCAAACCGAGGGGTAATAGAGAAAAGAGCAGATACTCTAAAAATATTATCGCTGGCTAATTGGTCCTCCCTCCCTGGCAGAACAGGGATGCTTGCAACATTGGCCAGGGCCCTTGCCGCCGCCGAGTTTGTATGAGAGCGATTCAGTTGCAGCGGTGGTGAGGGCTAAAAAATAAATTATTTTAGTTTTTTTAATTTATGTATGGGTTGGGATAAAGAGGTGAAAATTATTAAATTAATTTTTTTTATATTTTAATAGTCACGTTACTTATTTAACGGTCAACTATAAGAGTTGACCGTCACATCAACTATAAGAGTTGATCACCACATCAACAAAAGTTAATGGAGACTAATGACAAGTGACCAAACTTTAACTGTTAACCACACGTACTCCTCTGCTCTGGGCTCTACCTCGTGAATCGTTATGTCGTTCCCTTCAAAAATCGAAAATAGCTTCTGCGGCAGCCGGCAAGGGAAGCTGCATGCACCGCCGGTGGAATTAAATTAAACAAACAAAATCAATAGAAAACAATAGCTGCTGCGGCGAGGGAACATGCATGACAACAAACCTGAAACTGAGAGTGCACCGTCGACGGAAACTGACGGGGAAGCTGCACCGGCGTCGGCGATACATTCGAGCGCTCTGGGGTCGACGGAGAGGACGCGGCACAGGGTCGATGGAAAGGTTGCGGTGCTGGGCTACCACGTCGCAGTCCGTCGGTCTGAGTGCGTCGGCGTCGGAGAGAACATCAATTGCCGATTGGTTTTCCAATTGGCGGCGAGACTCATGATGGTGAGGGCTGGCGGTTGGGTTAGGCAGGCAGAAAGAGAGACTGCGAGAGAGGGGAGGGGAATTACTAATTATTAATATGTAATTACAAATTCCTTCTCCTAATAGAGAACCAATTGCAAGTTTGTAACTAATTAAGAGAATCTCAAATTACTACTGCTTCTTGCAAATCCGGTATCGGAAAACCGGCTTTCCGTCGGTTAGTTGGCATCCGGATTTCGGTATACCACCATCCCAAATTCAGCATCCGACAACCGTTACCATCTGGTTAACGGTTTAATCGATAACCTCGATTACCGGTACGGTTATTGGTTAAACCATTAACCGGGAAACCGAATCCCAGCCCTAGGTGGAGTTGGTGGAAGAATAAGTCTGTGGAGAAATATGCGGAGATATTTCATCTCTGTCACCTTGAACATCATATAACGTTTGTGTAAGGGTTAATACCTTATTATGGTCCGAACTATACCCATATAATCAACTGTTGCCAGTGATTTCAGAAATTGTCATCATGGCCTCAACTATACATCATATAGACTCAATTGACCATACACGTTGTTTAACCGTTAAGTGGACGGTCAACATCGTTGAATAACGATCAACTCACCATATCATTATCTCGTTAGCCTAAAAATCATTAAAAAAAGTTGAATTCAAATGATTTTCTCTAATTTCAAATGTAAACTGAAAATTTAAAAAAAAATCCTTCTCTCTCTCCTCATTCGGCCCACACAGCCCTGTCCCTTTCCCAACCCTTCTTCCCCGGTGATCCATCACCCTAACCCTTATCTTCTGCCCGATTAGAAGAAGATAATAAACTCTTAACATCACAGCAATCCAGTAAGGGTTAATTCCTCTCCACCTGGAAGTAACACAGGAAAAGCTGGCGGCGGGCGGATCGACAAGGCTATCTGAATAAAAGCCGGCCGCCGTCGCCCCTGCCTTCTCCGACCACTTCTCTTTGCTTCCTTCTTTCTCAATTACAGGGGATAATTGAGTATCATAGTATTCGGCCCTTAGGCCTTGTGTAAAAAGGGCTTGGCCCATTAGATGTAGATGATCGGCTAGGGTTAATAGTAGATAGCCGTGTGTATATATGTAACCTAGTGTGCTACGTTGGAGGTACAGAAAATAAGAAAGCTACGCCCCTTCCCGTGGACTAGTCTTGTTCGATCACACTCGAACAAGGAAACCACGTAAATCCCGTCTCGTTTCAATTCTCGTTCTATGGATCTGGAGAGTATTAGCACGCGTCTCAACTCGAAGAATTTTGCACTATGGGAGTTTCAATTTCGTACGTTCATTGAAGGTCAGGGGTTTTTCGGATTTCTCGACGGCACAACAATGAAGCCAGCCGTACCTCCGTCCACGCCACAAGAGCAAGCCAAGTGGATGCAATCTGATGCTCGGGTTCGCTCATGGATCTTGAAGTCGGTAGATCCCTCTATCGTCCTAGGGCTGCGTCTCCTTCCGACGTCGGCCGAGATGTGGAAAGCACTCCATGACACGTATGCCACAACAAGCGTCGCCCGTCAGTTTGAGATAGAAGTGGAGCTGGGTAATCTATACCAAGGTAATAAGGATATTACTACGTACTATAATGAAGCAAAACAATTATGGACAGAGCAAGACTTCCTCTCGGCCGCGTTGCTC